AGTAATTAAGATTTGTGTTCTATTGATTGTGTAGCTTAAGTAATTTTTCATTACTAACATAAGATTTAATAAGTATAAGTAGTTAAAGATTCTGACTTGGCACTAGTCATTAGCATGTAATTGAACTAGTGAAAAAGATCAGTTAAAGCTGTGTTGATTACTACCTTATCTTTGAAAGGCAATTAAAGGCCTCAATCATTGCAACAAGATTTGATTGTGCAGCCTTTATTGGACATTGATCTTTCAGCAAAGTGCAGTTACATTTTCCATTAATTTACAGTAACATAGTTTAACTCTGATACCCTAGACTGTTGACCCAGGTGAGATGTAATGCTAAGTACTTGTTTAGGTTAAGATGCTCCCAAACGTCATTACCTCATTACTGTCTCAATGCTGTGTGCTGAATATAGGAGATACCTGATCTGCTAGCATTAGGGTAAGGTTTCTGTATCTGCATTAACTTTCAAGTGAAGTGAAATGAAGATCCTTGTCTTTGATGTCATCCCACACACTTAGACATCATTACTCTTTAATAGACCTAAAAGGCATTTTATGAAGATTTGTAGATGTGCTGTGTCTGTGGTTCTGGGTGAACATAAATATAAATGACATGAGATAAAATGTTCTAATAATACATATGGGTTTAATTTTTTGAAATTTTTATTACTGATGTGTGTGGATGTGATCACATGTGTGGGGGTCAGAGGACAGCTTTATGGAATTGGTTTTCTCCTTCCACTTTTATATGGGTTCTGGGGATTGAACTCAGGTCACCAGGCTTTGCAGGGCAAGTGTATTTATCTACTGAACTATCTCACTAGCCCCCCCTCATATGGCTTTTTAATAATTAAAAAGTATTTTGATTTTTATTGGTGTCAACAATGAACAGAACATTTTTTAGTAGTCAAATATATGTGACAAAAGAAATAAAACTATTTATACAAAATGGTGTTATGAGGACATCAGCACTGAGAAAGTAGGGACTTTTATAATTTTCTTAAGATTTATTTTTATTTTACCTGTCTTATGCAGCACCCATGGAAGCTAGACTAGGGTGTCTGATCTCCTGGAACTGGAGTTACTGATGATTGTTAGCCTTCATGTGTGCTGGGAATCAAACCTGGGTCCTCTGGAAGACCACTAAGTGCTCTTAACCCCCAAGCCATCCCTCCAGCCCCAGAGCTATTTATTGTTTTCTTTTAATATCAGCAATATCGTTCATACTCCGAAGTATGTTGATGTCTCTTAAAGCAGCAATTCAGTTTACATAAAAACTAAGAACTTTACCTAGAAATTCCTTCTAGCATTTCATAATTGATATGTGTAGAAATGAGAAGAGAGTAAAGTGTGCCAAACATTACATCTTCACTAAATGTTATGCCTGGATTATTTTGTCTTTATTGTTTCTGTATTATATTTATTATCTATCTATCTATCTATCCATCCATCCACCCACCCATCCTTCCATCATCTATCTAGTTTGTAGGGTCTGGAGAAATGCTTCCACAGTTAAGAATGTTTATTGCTCTTTTAGAGGACATGAATTTGGTTCCTGGCACCCATTTAGGTGAATCATAATCACCTGTGTCTCCAGCTCCAGGGGATTTGACACCTTTTCTGGCCTTTGTGGGAACCTGCATACATGTCATACACACGCACACACACACTGAGTTTTATTTGTATATAATGAAGTTTTTTTTGTGTATATATATATATACACTTTATATATATACATATATGTGTATATATGTATATATAATGTAGAGAGACAGAGAATGTTAGCATAGTTGCCCCATCCTTTTCCCTTTCCCCTCCCTCTTTTGAGTACCTTCTCCCATTAATCCCTTTTAATGCCCTAGACAATTTCACTTCATTTATACACCTATGATTCATGTTACCATATAAAGTCTAGAAACCATAAATGAGAATATGTCTGAGAATGGCTTCGGTTAATGATCATCCAGTTGCATCCATGTTCCTGAAAATGACACAATTCTATTCTTTGCCACAAGACTGGATACTGTTAAATATAAATTGCATTATGGAACTGCAGGTAGGAAATCTTTGCCAATGGTTTTATAAACCAAGAAGGCTAGGGTCCACTTGATTTCTCCTTGCTGCATTAGGTTGGTGGATGTGGGCAAATATGCACTCACTGCCTTCAGTCTCTCTCCCTCTTCTCACCTTACTTTTGAAATCCTTCTATTGATGAAATCCTTTATAAATAAAAGGAACAGAAAAATGTGTTAGAAAAACAGACTTTTAATTGGGACAAAAGTAAAATGTGTGCTAAAAAGGATAATCATGATACATCTTTTAAAAAAATTTGCCGGGCAGTGGTGGCGCACGCCTTTAATCCCAGCACTCGGGAGGCAGAGGCAGGCGGATCTCTGTGAGTTCGAGGCCAGCCTGGTCTACAAGAGCTAGTTCCAGGACAGGAACCAAAAGCTACGGAGAAACCCTGTCTCGAAAAATCAAAAAAATAAAAAAATAAAAATATTTATTCTACGAAACAAATTGTGTGTATGTGACTCTGTGTTACACACATATGTGTGCATGTGTGATGTCAGAGGGCAGTTCCATGTAGCTGGTTCTGTCCTTCCATCCTTACACGCTTTCCTGGGATCAAACTCAGGCTGCCAGGTTTGCATGGCAAGTGCTTTTCCCTGGCAAGACATCTTTCCAGAGTCATGATACATCTTCAGGTGGAAAGGTCCCTTGTTCTTCTCAGTTTTCAGGTGGAAAAAATGCCTTAAGGCAAAAGACAACATTGAAACCAGGAATAGACTCAATCTCCCGGCTTCTTAGATTTACACTCTAATCCTTCTGGGCTACAATGTTTTTCTACAATAAGCAATATTCAAGAAAAGAAAAACTAAAAAAGGAAAAAGGAAGAAAGAGGAAGAAAGGAAGAAAAGGAGGAAGGATGGAAGGAAAGAAGGAAAAGTTAAAATGTTTGTTGTTTCTTGGGAAGCAAGTTTCATAACAAAAGATTCATCAAAAGGTTTATAAATCTAATAAATTCTATTTTATATTTTGAGCTCTGGCCCTAGCCATCACTGGTTCATCCTTCACCGCGATCAACTTCATGTGAGCAAGAGGTCTATTGATTTCCATGTAATAGAAGAAAATATTACATTTGCTTAATTGTTGCACAGCAAACACACCAGACAAGAAATCAAGGCTCTATTTAATGCTGCAGCAGCAGAGAATTACAGAGATCAATAGGGTAGTTTGTCAAAGATGTTCTCCTAGGAGACTTACCTATCACCATGCGGACAAGAAGTCACACTGACTACAGTTATCGAAAAACAGGTAAGCAGAGTCAGCAGTACAGATTATCAGAAATCAAAGGCCCGGTGTGAAAAGAAGTACAACTGGATTGAAAAGCTGTATTTACGGTCTGGTAATTAAAAACTATTTTATCAACCTTGTGTTGAGACCAAACCTTTACGGCATGTATTGACATGATCAGCAGCAGTGAATGAGCAGTATTTGACTTAGAACTTATGAGCTATAGTTATTTAACACTGTCCTCACAGAGGAAATCAGTTCTAGCCTTCTTTGCAAAATGCTAATAGTTGTTTTTATTATTAATGAAGCTTAATGCAACACCATCTTCTTTGGGCAAGCCATTCATTTAACTAGTGTCAAGCATATTTTCTGAACTAAATACACTGGCATAAGTACTTCTTTGATTAAAGTGTTACTTAGAATTGTGTTTGGACAAGTGAACAATCATATATTAGTACAGTTCCTTATCTGTAGCACACTTGAAATGACTACATTTGAGGGGCCCATTTGTATGACTTTGTTATTCTGATGGTTTCACTCAGGAAGTTCACTTGGTATTAACTTGCTAGAAAGAACATCCAAATGTTGGTTAGGTGAAACTGTGTAAACACTGCACTACCCGCAACACATTAACATAAAACACTATATAATATGTTTGTAATTATGAAGTGATCATAAATCTTAAATACCCATTGGCTTAGAAATTAAATAGTCCTATTTAGTTCTCCCTAAATTACTCCAAATTTCAGAAATTTACCATTCGTCTGGGTATTTTGTGACTATCTCCAAGGATAAATTTTTTTAATGACTTTGCTTTCAACAATGCAATTAGCTTAATAAAATTCTAATGCAAAAGTGATATCAGGTTTTAAAAATTTCAGCGCACTCCCCGTGGTCAGTAGATCAGTGGATATGTGCCATTTCAGTTCACTGCTTTTATAGACAGCTGGCAAACTCACTCTTTCTGGGGCTTTCTAGACCTTAACTTTCTTATAGCTTTGTAGTATGTTATTTTTTTAACTTATTAATAATGAGTATTAATTTCATTCACCTTGTTGCATTTACATTGACAAGAGCTATAACTACATTAAGTACTATGGAATTGCCCTTTCTGTTGTTGTTGTTAGGGTCTCATGCTGCCCAGGCTGATGTTGAAAATGCCCTATAGCTGAGGGAATTTGACCTCCTGACCTTCCTGCCTCTACTTTCCCAGTTCTGGGGTCACAGGAGTACAACTGCACTTTATTCCTACTACTCAGTCCAGATAAATACTATAAACGCTTAAAAAACAATCACTTCCATGCAAAATCTTAACACTTGGATGCTTAAGTTTTCAGTCGCAATCAAATTTTTACCTATTTTGAACTTGTCAATGACACCGTATCATCTCCACTAAGTATTCACCATCATTGCTAATATCCAGCCTTAGAATCTGTATTCATCCACTCTTTTTTACCTGTAGTTTAATCTAGTTCTAGGGAAACAGGAGTGAAGTCACATGTATTTGGAGTTCCCATTAGTTAGACGATACAAAATATATAATAATGTAGAAAAAGCTTCCCTTTAGGGAATAGTGATTCACCTTAAAAACACACACACACACACACACACACACACACACACACACACACACCAGAGAAAGACAAAGGTGTTTGCCGGCATTTTATTTTAAAGAATCAAAAATAAATATTTCACACACACCTGCATGGAACAAATTCATTGATATTTGTATTTTCCAATACACATTTTCAATACATGGCACCTTCATCTTCTTTATTTAGAAAATAAATTGTTATTGGTCCGTAACTGGTATGAACAGTCTCTGTGACTCTGGCAAATAACCAGGAGCCAAGTCCATATAATAAGGTCGGAATACCTAGAAAACAAATGAATATGTTACATGAGAAGATCAGTACTTATTAATCATGTACTAACATGTCATGTTACTGATCATGTAAACTGTCTTCAGCAATGCTGACATAAAAGCTATTGACACAGAAATATATGACTAGATGCTCACTATGATTCCTGAAGAGCTGGACTTTATCTCTGTGGGACATAGTGGCAATTATGTGAGCCTAGATTTTTAAAACCATAGACGAGACTGATATAAACTTTAATTCATTATCTTCAATTAATTATGAAGTAATTTTATATTCTCACAAACAAGCAGAAAAGAGTATTCATTAATTTGGTTGTAAATGTCCCTATTTGCTTTAAGCTAAATTTACTAGGACACTTTGTTGTTCTGCAAGTTAGATAGGAACACTGATGGATAAGGAAATTTTTGTTCAACTAAGAAACTGGTCAAACAATTATCTTCAAAATCTAAAGCAAAATATAACTTTTAGGAATATTTTAATGTACCTGGCATGACAAAGAACGCTCTCATTATTTTGTAATTGATTTGAAAACAATCTTGTTTCACCTTATCTACATGGATTCCAAAAAGTCTCTCTCTTTCAAGATTGCCATTAATAAGGCTTTCCTGTTTTATTTGAGATTAACTGCTGTATGCTCTATATCAAACTGAACATATACTACCCAGAAATATGGATTCATATGCATATGATGCTATGTTGAAGGCAAAACAGTCTTCCAGAATTCTTAACTTTTAAGACACTTATTTAAAATCAATGACTATTAACATATTAAAAACACACTGCATATATATGTGTGTGTATAAAACCACAGGCACACAGATCAAAAACAAATATTGTAGGGCCTACACAAGTATTAATTTTATTGCTTCCATGTGGGAAATGGACAGAAAGAGGCAATTCAAAATGTTAACTGCTCATTTGGAAAATCTCTCTCTAGTTAATAGAGAAACCAACACACATTCAGCACTGATCGTACTCCTGACTTTTCTTCCTTTGCTGCAGGAATAGCCTCACTGTGTCATGCTCCCTTTGGACCTGTGTAACAGAGGAGACTGCACCAGCTGGCAATGAGACGGTGGGCTGAGGAGACAGGTGTCTCCTGCTCAGGTCCTTCTCTGCTTTTGGGAGCATACCAGGTTACAGTTTGTAATTTATCACCACAGAATCCCCTGGTGCTCCCAGGGAACTTTCTACAGTATACTGCTGTCTTTGCCCTCATTGTGCCCCAAAGAATCTCAAATGTTTCAAGGGGCAAAAACACATCCTCAAAAACTATAATAATAATTTGCTATTTGCAAATCATTCTTCAAAAAGATAAGAAAAAAAGAAACAGAAAATCAAGCGGTATGCGGTGGGAAGGCAGGCTAACAAGGTAAAAGAGGAGTGTGGGGTACAGGCTGAAATAAAAAAAAAAAATGAAGCCGGGCGGTGGTGGCGCACGCCTTTAATCCCAGCACTCGGGAGGCAGAGGCAGGCGGATCTGTGTGAGTTCGAGACCAGCCTGGTCTACAAGAGCTAGTTCCAGGACAGGCTCCAAAACCACAGAGAAACCCTGTCTCGAAAAACCAAAAAAAAAAAAAAAAAAAAAAATGAATTCCAACATGACACTACCACTCCAAAATCTGAAACCCAATGAGATGAGGAATTTAAAAGGGCCTTAGAAGCAATCATTAGTTTTCTATATATACTGAAAGTAAGATAAACACAAGGTACCTTCCAAACCAACAGTAAGGGTGGAGTGTAAGGAATGGTAGTGACCCTGAGAGTTATTTTTTATAATGTTTACCACAGCTTTAATTTAAATATTATTTTAAAATGTATACTTTTGAAAACAAATCATACAAATAAATGTCCCCCATTAATAAAGAACTAATAAATTATTACTAGTTAATAATAAGCCCATGAAGAAACCATTAACAGTCATGCTTACTGACAGGGATCAGAGTTGATAAGGGAGTCAGAAATTCTCTGTTGGAATGAATTGAGTTTTTGTATTTTTTTCCACTCTAGAATGCAGAGAATAATGCAATAATGAGGAAGCTTTGTTGCCTCTATACTTTACAGATTAAAAAAAATTGTTTGTATGCGTCAAAATCAAAATCTTTAGATTCTACAAAAAAAAAAAAAATTCAGACTACCAGAGACAGAGAACATCAAAATGAACTTGAAAAACAGTTCTTTGTATTAATAATTCATTTTGAGTTAACTGAACAGTAGATAAACTAATGTCGAATTAGGCACTTAGAACAACTGGAACTTTGTAGTAAGGCTTCTATTACTCATTTATTCCAAGTGTAAGTTGCTTTTCTTTAAATCTTAATTTATTTCCCAGCAGGATACTTAGGCTGATAAACCATCAGTAAAATGTCAGTTCCGTGGAAGGGAAGGTGGAGAGAAAAGGGAAAATGAGTAAATAGAAATCCTTATTTACAAAACAGAAAATGAATTATTCTGATTACTACTCATTTAGAAGGGAGGACGAGGAATAAAATCGTTTGTACTCTTATTACCGACTAAGGACTTGATGATCCAGAGGGGCAAACTGTACATCACAGACTAGGATCCTGTTACTTAATTCACATTTCCCTCAGTTCAGACAAAAAAGAAAAAAGAAAAAAGCAACATAAATATTACTACACTGGTAAAAAGCCCAGAAAAACATTTCAGAGTAAGTCAATCGTACTGAAGCACGCAGGAATGCGGTCTCCCTTGGCTGCATTTCCAACTCTTCTTCCCATTCAAAGCTGCATTTTTAAGAATTTCTAGAAGCCCCCAGACTATTAAATTGCTCTTCCACATTAAAAGACAAACAAAAATCATCCCCACATCTGTTGGTTTTTGAAAAGGTTTAATTTCTATGTGGGAATGTGAATTTTTTTCTTCTTTTGGTGTCTTAATGCCTGACACCTGAAAGAGAGCTGTAATCATGATTGGTTTCTTACAGGAAATGCGACTTTTAAATGTGACATTTAAATACAGGACACCCTGTCCCTCGGCCTTACAGCTTTCCTAACTATCACTCCATACTTGGAAAAGAATGACTCCTACTGATCCTGAAAATGCTAACCACAAACTCATGTTCACAACTAGTCGGCACTCCAGCTTTCCCACATACTTTCAGTCTCAAGTTTCTAAGTCACCTCATAGCAACTTAACTTTACACCAATCTCAGAAGTAGGGGGCATAGCTCTGTGTAGTCCATCAGCCAAGTAATGAGACATTTAAAAAGGATTATATATATTGTTTATAATCTCTTTCCTGGATGATGCCCAGGGCAGTGCCAGTGGGACAATAGTTCAAAAATTCCGTAAGTGACATATGAGTTATAAGCAACACTGACCTTGTCTTATTTAATTTAATGAACTGTTGGATTATATATAATACTAGAACAGCTGTACAGTTTAGTATAATTTTGGATTAAAAAAATAAAAACTATTTGGGTTATACTGATTCGGCTTCCTTGTGTAGAGTTTGAGTGACTGAAATCGAAATCGAAATTAATTTTTTAGTAGCTATTAATAGGTCCGAAACATCTCGAGGGCTTGTATTTTCCCCTGATCTATAAAATGCTATCACATCTACGATCCATGATATTGACCTGCTGTTAAACCAAAAGAACATGGACATCTACCGGGAGGAGACACAGCCAGAATTAGATGGCCAGGAACACAAGTCCCGAGGAGGCAGCCTCTTTCAAATGCCTTTTTAAATCTAGCACCTGAGAAAATTATGATGCCTGGAGGGAACCTACTGCTCTTAGCAAAACACACGTGCTGAGATTTCACATAAAGAAGACAAAGGAATTTTAAAAGTCCGTCCAGTTTTTGTCCTCCAAAGGCTCCCAGTGACGAGCGCCGGAATGACTCCTGCTCAGCAACTTCAGGGCCACTGTCCAAGTGGGGGCGTTTCCTGACTCGCTGCCTAAGGCAGGGTCCTCCTGAGTGGACAGAGGCAGGGCACGACCTCAGGGGTGATGCAGGCAGCCCGCCGGGCCCGAGCAGCGTGCCTGGGGACCAGCTACCGCCCGCCGGGCCGGAGGAGTGCCCGGGTCAGGCGACGGCGCCGCCACTCACCCAGATTGATGACCTTGAGCGCCGTGAAGAAGCGGTTCTGCCCGGCCAGGTCCTGCCACGGCGCTTTGGAGCAGTGGTACTTGATGAAGGGGAAGCAGCCGGTGCGCAGGACGTGGTAGTTGGCGCCCGGCACGGGCCAGTTGAAGTGCGACAGGCCGAACTGGTCGTTGTGGACCGCGCTGTAGGGCACGCAGAAGGAGGTCCAGTGCGGCAGGCGCCGCTGCAGCAGGTGCCGCGTCAGCACCTCCGAGGCGCGGGGCTTTGGGCGGGAGGCGGCGCCCACGGCCCAGGGCCTGCACAGCAGCAGCCGCAGCGCGGCCTCGTGGGCCCTCCGCAGGGCCTCCATGCCCGGGCCAGGCCGAGGAGCCGGCCCCAGGCCCCTGGGGGCGCGCCCTTGGGGGCGGGGCCTCCTGGAGCGCTTGCGCACGCGCACTCCCTCCCCCTCGCGCTCGGCTAGGGCAGGGAACGCCCAGAGGGCGGCGCGCCGGGGAGAGCGGCCTGAGGTGGGTCTGGGCTGCGGGCGCGTGCGCGCGCACACCCTCCCGCGGCCTCTGGCGGACGGGAGGGCGGAGCGACGGCACAAATCTGAAAAAGTGTCACCCGTGACCTCAGGTATCGTTGGTAACCCTGGAGCAGGGGAAATGCACATGTTAAACAGCCAACCTGAGCGACTGGCAGGATTCAGGCAATGGGCTTCAGGGAAATCCTTAGGGTTGCTGAGGAGCCGGAGGTGTGCCCGGCCTTGACACCTGGTGACCTTGGAAGCACGTCGCCGCCTTCGTGTTGCCTGAATCCTAGATAGTGCAATATTGAAAAGGGTCCCAAGCCAAGTGTGGTAGCACTTGCCCGTAAACACAGCCCTGAGAGGCTGAGGTGTGAGGATGGGGAGTTGGAGGCCAGCCTGGGCTACACAGAGGAGCGCCTGTCTCAAAACAAAGAAACACCAATAGTGCTTCTCAACAATCCTGAAAAGAAGAAAGGAGCCTTCCTCATTCAGTGCCCTGAAGCTCAGAGATACCTGGGTAAATACCAGGACAGGATATGGCGGTCACCAACCTAACATAATCCAATTGCTCCTTTTATTTATTTTTTTTTTTTTGAGACAGGATTTCTCTGTAGCTTTGGAACTAGCTTTGTAGACTAGGCTGGCCTCCAGCTCATGGAGATCCGCCTGCCTCTGCCTCCTGAGTACTGGGGTTAAAGGCGTGCACCACCACCGCCCTGTTTCAATTACTTTTATCTCTTACTGTAAGGAAAGCATTTCTCAAGCTTTATAGCATCTTGAGGTACCTTACATACCACCATTTTTCTGAAGTATTGTTAGCTCATATTTGTCCTTAACTTATGTGGAGAGAACACATAAATAGGATGAGGTGTCTGGAAAGCACCTTATGCAAATGAGGTAATTATATGTGTAGGAACCATATAACAATTATTATTTGCTGAAAATTCAAGAAGGAATTTTTTTATAGTCTCCATTTTTTGAGTTAGTCAACAATGAGTTCATTCTACAAATATGTCAAATATTTACGAGATCTTAGTTATGCAAATAGTTTGAACTTTATAAGATTCCTTATTAGATAACAATTTTTTACAGGGGCTGGAGAGATGGCTCAGAGGTTAAGAGCACTGGCTGCTCTTCCAGAGGTCCTGAGTTCAGTTCCTAGCAACCACATGGTGGCTCACAACCATCTGTAATGGGATCTGGTGCCCTCCTCTGGCGTGTGGCCATACATGGAGGCAGAATGTTGTATACATAATAAATAAATAAGTCTTGAAAAGAATTTAGGCAGAGGCATGATGTGTTTAGCTATGGAGAAGAATGGCTAGGATTGTTGGAAGGAGATGGGGAAATGCTGCAGTACCATCATCTTCAAAGTCAAGTTTTAAAAACAGTAGAGCCCCTTCTCAGACAAGAGTTTCACAGAATTCCAACATATAAAGTAAATTATGAACGCAATGTGTTTATTTATAAACATTTATACATTTCTTAAATAGTAATTTAATAGGCAAACTGGCACTACATCAAAATCAAGGGTGGTCTGTTGTCTTGGGTTTTGTTTTGAGTGGGGAAGGGATTTGTAAGAAGTAAGTCAGGTAGATTAAATAATAAACGTGGGGTTTGCAGAACCAGACTCAGAAAGTGGCAAAGAGTGGAGGGAACCTGGCCAGTGAAGACGTAGGTAAGGGCAAACCAAGAACTGTCGTAAAGAGGATGCCCACTCTCACTGCACCTTCAACTCTGGTTTGTTTTCATTATGGGACAGTAACAATTATAGCTGCCAATTGTTTCTTGCATCTTCTGCTTTGACTGAAAACTATTCAGAAAAATCCTGATCTTTCCAGAGAAACCAATTATTTATTTATTTTTATTTTTTTATTTTTCCATTCAAAAATTTACACTCCCATTCCCCTCCCATTCCCCCATCCCCCATTCCCCTCCCATTCCCCCACTCACCCTCCTTCCTCCCCCTCCCTGCTTGAGAGAGGGCAGGGAACCCTGCCCTGTGGGAAGTTCAAGGCCCTCTCCCCTATATCCAGGCCTAGGAAGCTGTGCATCCAAATAGACTCAGGTCCCAAAAAGCCAGTACATGCAGTAAAAACAAGTCCCAGTGCCTTTATCAATGGCTTCTCAGTCAGCCCCCCTTGTCAGCCACAATCAGAGAGTCTGTTTGATCACATGCTCATCCAGTCCTGGTCCAGCTGTATTTGGTGAGCTCCCATTAGAATAGGCACACTGCCTCAGTGGGTGGACCAACCCCTCACCATCCTGACTTCCTTTCTTTGCTTCTTCCTCCTTCTGCCCTTCAACTGGACCTTGAGAGCTCAGTCCTTGCTCTAATGAGGGTCTCTGTCTCTATCTCCATCCGTGCCAGGCGAAGATTCTATGGTGATAGTCGAGATAATCATCAGTATGATGGTGGGGCATGGACAGTTCAGGCACTCTCCTCTGCTGCCCAAGAACCTAGCTGGGGACAACCACGTGGACACCTGGGATCCCCTCTAGAGCCAAGTCTCTTGCCAACCCTAAAATGGTTCCCTGTGCATATGAGATTTAAAAAAAGCAAACTACTGATATGGATAACCAAGTATTACATAAGTTCACTGATTTTTGTCATTATGCAGGCTTTGAAAAGGCTAGTGAACAGGTAGGGCGGTGGTGGCGCACACCTTTAATCCTAGCACTCTGGAGGCAGAGGCAGGCGGATCTCTGTGAGTACGAGGCCAGCCTGGTCTACAAGAGCTAGTTCCAGTACAGGCTCCAAAGCTACAGAGAAACTCTGTCTTGAAAAACAAAAAAACAAAGAAAACCCAAAAAAAGCTAGTGAACAGAAGGACTAATCCTGGACGCTGCTGTGTTGGGTAAACCTCATAACAGATGAAGAGTTTTGTTAGGGCAGGCTGTTTGACTCTCCCCTCTTTTCTATTCTCATGTAAAAAAATTCTTCCAATGAAAGTAGATAGGTGGGCCATTCTCCCATTTTAGAATGTTCTACAGACCACTGTGTCACCTCACTAATATGCCAAAACTTGGGAGTCTTCTAGTCATGCAAATAGTTCGTCACATGTATGTATATTGAATGCTCTCCTAAATATTAAAATTCTCTCCTAAAAATCATTAAGGAAAACACAGTCCCGTAGAAAGATAGAGAACTGGACATATCAGAAATGAAGACATCCTCGTCTGCAATAAATGTGTAAAATGTGCATAATTTCAACCATTGTTTGAGAAGTGGACATTAAAGTCACAAAATGATAGCATCACATACCCTTTAGAATGACCAGAGTCAAAAAGACAGAAAGTTCGAAGGGTTCAAAATACGGAGAAAGCTTTTCCAAAGTAGAGCAGTTGGATTTTTTAAAGACTTACTTCTTTAGATTCTGTTTGGGTATTTTGCCTGCCTGTATGTCTGTGTACCATGTGCATGTCTTGTGCCTTAGAAGCCAGGAGAGAACATCAGATCTGTTGGGACTGGAATTGCTGCTGATTGGGAATCACTAAGTGCTAGGAACTAAACCCTGGTCCTCTGAAAGAGCAGCCAGTGCTCTTAACCCTGAGTCATCTCTCCAGCCCCTAATTGGAACTTTTACCCCCCCACCCCCCGCCCCGGCCCCTTCCTGTGTGTATGTGTGATAGTCTTGTTATATTTCCCAGGCTGGCCTTCAACTCACTGTGCTCTCACCTCAGCCTCATATGCGTGACTTACGACACAGACCTTGTACTTCTAGGTCTATACCTATACTGTTTTATTTGAGCTACCATAACAAAAAATGTCATTTCTAACCAGGGCATGCAAGGTATTGACCAGTTCCGCTCCTCTGAGAGTTTCCATCCTGGCTAGCAGATGGCTGCCTTAGCACGGTACCTCACATGGTGACCCTACTCTTGACATACCTTCTCAGATTTCAGCTCCACATTATTGACATTTTTAACCTTTAGCACCTCTTCTCAGGCCCTGTTTCCGAATGTAGTCACACTAGGCTTCACTATATGAGTGTGGATGTATGTGGAGGGAAACACATTCAGTCTACAGCAATACCTAACATAAATCATGCCTGTATGTTCTCCAAAGCACATGGACTAGAATATTTACAGCATCACTTCATATTTGTAATATTTGATCTATGAATTACACATATCAACTGTATGTCCATGATTTTATATCTTATTATGTTTTCAGTTGTGTGAGGCTTTTTCCGTACCTCTTGCATGCTATGCAACTGCTCTAGTACTGGGCTAAATACTCAGTCCTCATTGTTAGTGTTTATTAGGGATCTAGAGAAAGAATATCTCCTTATATGTGTGCATATTTATTTTCATATTGTTATTGTAGGGTCTTTTTGTTTGTTTGCTTTTTTGTTTGTGCTTTGAGACAGGTCTCATTGTGTTACCCAGACTGACCTCAGCCTTAGCAGCTGCTGCCACCTCAAGCTTTCAAGTAGCAGGAACTGTAGTTGTGCCTCACCACACCCAGCTCTCATGTTTTTACAAGCTTAGAGTGAGATCCTGATTGCTCATGTAAAGTAGTCCTCATTACCTGGCATAAAAGGTTCAGTATATCTGATGTTTCAGATATTTTCTGGGGATCTTGGGAGGTATCATCTGTAGATAGGCAGATGTATTGTAACAATGTGATTTAAAACAAAGCAGGATAAGGATGTAGATTTTAATTCACTTACATTCTCACAGGAAACTTTAAAGAACTCATACTGCCACACATATGTCAGCATGGTAGTAAAAGATGGAAGACATAAAAAATGGGGATTAAATGTTTATGTTTAAGATTTAATTTAAAATTTTCTGTTTGGGGCTTAATGGCTTTTGGTTCAAGGAAAGAAGACTGAGATGATTTTGTCTAATTCTTACTCCAGCATGGTTAGATGTAATCACAGGTAGCCAAAATAATTTTAGACCCAGGCTTCTTCAGCACCCATC